TGACTTGTGGCAGCCAGCCTACTTCTGCCCTTCCTAACCTGTAGCTGCCTTCACCTTCTTGTACTCTTCTGCCTGGTAAGATTCAGTCTCCAGCATCTGCCTTGCTGTTTACCTGTGACTGTGAGGTAGAAACTTCTATAGGGTAGAAGCAAAACTGGATGAGTAACTGTGCCTAAAGAGCACTTACCACATGGTTCACTATCAAATGGCAGCTCTTCCTGTTGCACTTTTTTCACAGGAGGTCTGAGATAGTACAATAAAGGGCATGCTGAGGAAGTTTTCAGGTCATGAGGAGCTGGGAACAGCTACAGATGTGGTGGAGGATGAGTTTACTGTTTAGGATAATCTTGGCAAATGGGAGGCATCATCTGGAGCGAAGCAGAGTGTCAGTGAGCATGAAAGCAACATACTGTCTATACTGTCTGTAGGCTGGACGGCATGGGTATGTGATGGGGGAAGAAACAGGGTAAGGTGCAGTTCCGTAGAAAAGCACCTGTAATTTTTGTATCACAAACTAACATTCCCCACGTGCTGTTGGGAAGACGTTAAAGCACGTGGACAGGAGCTCAAAAGTAATTAGAAGTAATTGCTCTGCTCTGCTCAGAGTTGGTGGGTCCTACAGTACCCCACTGATTTAGGTTCTGAACTCTGAGATGGGAACCAACTAGTGGGTGTTCAGAGGATAGCAGTGGTCTAGAAAATAATTTAAAACGAAAGATTTAAAGAATTAGAATTCCTTAGCCAAAAACCAGGATATTCCAGTTGCAAAGAAGTGGCTAGATTCCTCTCGTTATTCCTTAGTCATGGGGTGGGGAAGGTGAGATTTGGTCTTCGAAAAACTTTTTCCTCCTGCTGAGGGCAGGGGAATACTAAATCAGGTAGCCTGACAAGACCGAGTCCTGACAAAAATCTTTCTGCCATAGGTAAGTACATGTGGTTCTTTGGTGGAAGGGGAAAGAATTAGATGGTGTCTTTAAATTATAAGCCTTACACCTACATGATTGTTAGTGACTTACTTCCATCAAGTCTGTAACTATTTGTACATGCAAAAAGAATTTCAACAGGTAAATGAAAACTTGTATATCCAAAAAAAGGAAGCGTGTCTTGTAATTCTAGGCAGAGTGTCTGAGATTTGTTTTCTGAGCTTTTGACTGGTTTATTTTTTGTTCGTTTGTTAAGTGTAAATCCTATTCTTTGATGGAGCTCACTGCTTCATATTTGCATGTGTTTTTAATAAGATCACAGCTGCAAGAGCTGCTAGGGAAAACTGTGGTCTTCATACAGGTACAGGGGTAAGAGAGTGAGAGTGCACTTTGTGAGGATGTTTGTATGCAATCAAGTGAAGTCCGTCTAGCTCAGTACTTGCTGCTGTCAGATAAGAGGAGGCTGCTGGTGTAAGTGTAGAATAGTAGTTCCTGTCCTCCTTTTGCAGTTTAGAGACTTCTTGAGATGGAAGTTCCACTGTTCAACAGATCTGTTTTTATAATGAATTTTTCTAATTTTTGAACCTGTTTGTTTCTTGGTCTCAACTATATCTTTAGGCATTGGATTCTCTCAATTATTTACTAGGCAAAGAAGTACTTAAGAGCAACTTTTTAAAATTTAATTTGATGTTCCCATATTCTTCTGGGAAACACTTCAGGCATCTGGCATAGCTATCCCTTTGTGCTATCGTGATTATTATTTTTTGTACTTTGATCTGACACCCCATCACACTTAACTGTTTTGTGCGCTAATAAATTCTCTTTACTTTCTTTGTGCAGAACCTGCTCCATACTCTGATCCGTATTACCTATACTTTTTTGGTGCTTTACATTCTTCATAAGATAGAGTAATTTGAAGGTATAGGAGCACCACAAATGTATCAGCAGCATAAGAACATGTTGTGTTCTCTCTTCCCCTCATGAAAAAAAAATCTGATGTTCTGAGTGGTTCCTAACCTGACCACTTCAAAGGACTGAACAAATATTTTTAAAGTTGTATGTTCAGAGACTACCAGACCTTTTTCTGGTAGTGGCATTAAATAACCTAGAGTTGTCCCAGTGTGTCACATTGCATTTACAGACATGTGACTTCATCTGCTGTTTTATATGCTTGTTGCTCAGTATTCTGGGGTTCTTCTGCAAATTTTTTAATGATGTGTCAGTTTTGGTTGCTCATAATAATTTTGTATAATTTGCAAACTTAAGCACAGATGATATGTGAGGTGGCAGGTATGCAAATGACCGTTCTGAACAGCAGCCCATGTCCTGGCACAGATTCTGGTGTGTTTTCTGACTCTCTCCCATGTGAATATTTGTCTCTTTAATGTTACCTCTGCAAGGTCTTAACTTCTGTAACAGTTCCCTATGAGACATCAGTGGAAGCTTTTTTTAAAGTCTTCTGTTCAATACCACTTCTAACACCTTTAATTCACAGGATCCTTGATTCCTTCAAAGAACTCTTCAAGTTACGAGGCATGACTTTCCTCTACAAAAGCTGTGTTGTTGTTTTTCTCCCTGTTATTGAAGTCTACAAATTCTTCAGTATCTTTTTAGCCATCTTGCCCGGTATGGAAGTCGGACTATCTTAGTTGTGCTTCTCCTGATTGCCTTGTCAGGCTCTGAAAAAAGTTGATATATTTTCCACTCTCCATTCCTCTTTACTTAGGTCACCTTAAGCCTAAGTTTTTTCAGAATTAATAGTTTGTCAGTTTCATATTTGATGCTTTAACTGAATAGTATCTGAATGGTATCTGGCTCTGGTGAATTCTTACTGTTAATTTGATATTTTTAAATGCTCCTCTGATGCTTCATTTTGAGAGAATGCCTCGTATATCTCCAGCCTAAAGAGGACTGGGTGTGGGATTGGCTTTGAGTGTCTTGGCAGTAATTTCAGAAAACAACAGATCAGCTAGGTTTTCTGCTTTATCCTTACCTTCTTTTAATTCTTTCTTTTATATCTTCATTATCTACTGGTTTATTGCATTGAGGTAGCAAACTCTCTGTAACTATCAAATTCTACTATGTTTAAGCTCAGAAATAGCAACAGGAATTTTGTAACATTTTATTGCTTTCTTACAGACGGCTGTGTAGTTCACTGGCAAGCTTTTATTATACTTCTGTGTACTAGCCAGTATACACTTATCAATTAGGCCAGTATTGGACTTGTATTACCAGTTTTAAATTCTACTAATGACCTATACGCAGATGAAAATATGCGCATAGATAAAAAGTCAGTAGTAATTGGAATTCTGAAGAAAAGTTGGGTTTGCATTTTATTTTTATATTGACAAACAAAATTCTTCATTCTAACATATGTTATAGAGTAGTTCTTTAAAAAAAAAAAGGTGTATTTTTTGTCTGTGTGCAGAGAGCAGAAGATACACCATGTCTGTGTTTAAGTGACTCCAATCTGTTGTTTCATTTAATAAATCCAATTTTCAGAAGGGGTTCATTTTACCATGTGCGGTTCTTTAATATCTGCTTGAAGTCTGAATGTGCCCAGGTGCTGGTGGTAGCCTGTGTTTTACTTTCATGAGTCCCGTTTGAAACAGGAAAGGGGTTAAAAATAGTGTTCCTGTCCAGCGATATTCTGGTTTCCAACTGGTTTGTATTTGAGATGGGAGGGCTGGAGCCAAATTTATTATACTATAATGTTTTGCTCTTGCTTGTAATTTTTTGGTGGTGAAGACTTTCTCTTGGGCTTTGCAGCTTTGCAACTTTGCAACAAGTATTTTTGTGTCTGTTATTAAAAATGTGTTTGAATGAAATGAATTACAAATGAATTACAAATGAATTTTGTAATGCTTCAAGCCTGCTCCGTTTTTTTTTCTCCTTTCACATCTCCTTGCATAGCTGTTGTTTCTTTGCAGTGACTAAACGTAGGCATCACTTAGTCTTTTCTATTTTTGGTCATGGAGAATGAAAGTTTTGTATTTATATTAGGCAGTGCTTTGTTTTTATAATGTCACTGAGTAACTAGAAAGGAGTACGAAATAATGTCTGCTTGAATATGAACTCAAAGTATCCCTTTGTAAGATTTTACAAATGTGTCCATGATTAGTGCTTTGTTTTAAATACTGGAGATCTGCAAAATAGTTCTCTTTCCTTTACCCTTACACACTGTGTCTGTCTTTCATTTTGCTTAACGTGTCTTTTCTTAGAAGGGCATTGCTAAACCAAAATTGAATGTCTCATCTGAAGATTTAACTTTAGATGAGACATTCCGGTACAAGATTGTGAGTGAACACTTAACATTGATCCAGATGGAGTTTATACAGTATACCTTATATATGTAAGCTATATGCAAAGACAATTTCTTACTATTTTTTTTTCATTTTATATACTTTTTTCTTAATATAAAACCTTAAAGATCCAGACTTCTGTTGCAATGTGCTTCACCTAGATTCCAGTCCAGAGTTACAACTTGAAATTTTAGTGCTGCAGTCGTCTTAATTTTCTGACCTCTAACTTTCTAGATATTGAAGTAATGAGAGCCATGTGTGAAATTTCTGTGTCTTTATTGGTCCCTTTCTCATGTTGCCACTTGCTTTCTTACAGTCTAGTGAAAATACTGCTACTAATTTGTCTTTCATAGAATGCATTTTGGTCTTCCATGCTTTGGTTTTCCTTATTAATGGCTTGCTTTTGGTTTTAGCAAGGGCAAAGTTCGGAAATAAATGAAATGATCTAATTTTCTGGCTACAATACACTGTGTCATAAGAAATTCCAAGAACTTTAAAAAAGTAATCTTCAGTTACATGTGTAGAGATGAAATTATTTCTTCTCTCAAAACTGTGTGAATGAGTTGATAACATACTACTATTTGCAGTCATTTGAGAAGTCTGCTGTTTTGGTTTTCTTGAACTCTGTCCCTTTAGAAAAAAATGCTGTCTTCTGGTAATAATCTGAAAACGCAAAGCAACTTCCCTAAGTTTAAATTTTGTAATGTATTTTAAAATGCTGAAATAATATAAAAAAATTTGATCTTTTTTTTTTCCACAGAGTCCCCTCAAAATAAAGGTGTTTTTCAGAAAGTGAAAGTCAGAAGAAGTAGATGCTGACGTAGAGGAGTGTACTAGGGATCATTTCGTGAGGAAAACTTGTTAAGGTACGTGAGCTATGTTTTGCAGAAAAACCTTCCTGAAAATAAGCTGTCTGTTTTCCCTTTAGTGGATTAGTATTTCAGACCAGTTTTGAAACAATCAGGCTACCTTTGGATTACCACTTTGGATGTTTATTGATGGCAGTAGCTCTATGGAAGCATTAATTCAGCTAGTTCATGTTCCACACATTTTGCATCAAATGCCTACATAGATAATATTCTGAATATGTGCTTAGTGTAAACAAATGGTAGGTAAAGCATGTGTTCTGTGTTTCACATTTTTTTACATTCCAGGAGTAGATGCTACACTAACAGAAATGTCAATTGTTTAACAGTCTAACATTTATTTAAGGTGTGGATGGAGGGCTGAGAATGATTTATTTCATTGTTTTAATGGAATATACTACTATAAGACTCATATTCAGAAATAGAGATGGACTGTCTAACAAATTCACCGCCCATTATAAAATTGCTTTTAAATCAGTATAGGAGCCTTGAATTTGAGGATTTGTCTCCTGAATCCAAGTCCTTTTCTCTTCTTGTTCTGATTTTGCAGTATCCTTAATGTTTCTAGAAGGGGTCTGCAAAATATAAGCCATGCTAAGTGATTTGGAGCCCATGCAAATTTAGGAGCAAGGGAGTTGACAGTGCATCAAGAGTGAGTGTGACGCTCTCTGCATACCATGCCCATTCCATAGGCCCCCTTCTGGAGGGGACGGATATGTGCTGTGCTTTGCTCTTCTGAAGTTAACTGGGGGCTAGGTGTGCTTCTGGTGTGTGGTTTATCAGTTGCCTATCTTGTCATTGATATTATGAAACCACATGTAAAACTTCCAACCGACGTGTGTTAAGATTAGCAGTCACCATCTTGGGTATATTTCATGGCAATATGTAACAGAAGGCACCAGTTTTTATAAGGGTAGGAGAGCATCCTGGGAAAGTATTGCCATATACATGTTCTGTTCTTCCCTGCTCATTTGGATTTATGTCATTGTCAGACACACAGGACCTTTGATCTGATACGGTATGGCCACTCTCATGTGTCAGGGACAGATTGCAATCTTTAAATTAAGTGTAGATTGACTATGAAAACTGCTTTCTTCAGGGGTGTTGCTGGAATCCAGGAAGACTACTAATGCTGGAATATTGGCTTTATTTGCTGAGGGAAGTGGTAGAGTATTGAAGGTTTATTGACTGTCATTGAAGTTTCTCAGTGTCATGCTGACAAAATTTAACATGGCTTCATTTGGAATCTGGCTGCACTGCAGTGGTGGTGCTTGAGACAAGTAATAAACTGTATTCAGTAACTATGCTTAAATTTTGAACTGTTCAAGGTCTGGTTGCTCATTCACAGTATATTATTAAATGTACATTGAGTGTTTACTTCCTGTCAGTGATTAGTTTGTTATTTTGAGAGTGACTCTAAAAGGAAAGTAAGTCTTACTTTCTTGGAATTGGCTCTGAGACATATTTTAACCGTTAAAATGTACCAAATATTGACTAATTTGCATATCCAGTAATTTTTATAGTAACATGTATATATGTCTCACATTTCAAGATAGAATAAACTAGCTGAAACACATTTGTCCTATTTGATGCCACTGGGGTTTTATTACTTTTACAAAACATGCTAGAATTCAGTTTGAGACTTCACTGGCATGTCAAATTATGTAAGCATTGTTCATGTGTGGAAAAAGAGATAAACCTCATGGATATCTGTCAGAAGTAGGAAAAATGTCATCACAGTAAGAGTAAGCAATTTCTGAAGGTTTTTTTCTGTATGAATGCAGCATATCATGTGTTCGTTTTCATCAATTCTCTAGCTAGCTACTTTAAAACGTGATGCCGTCACTGTTTTTTGCCTTTAAGATAAAATATTCACCCATGTTTTTTAGAGAAAGATTTTTTTTCCCCAGATTGTCTTTCACACTATATTTTAATCCTTTCAACATTGGCATAGAAAATACGTTTGTGTCTCAAACTTCCCATATGTCCTACTGTTTCCACAGTAAATTTTTTCTGGGTTCAGATTCTGTTGCACAACTCAATTTTGTCAGTAGTCTGTGGCTGCGAAATCTGGGTGGAATCTGTCTTTTTTTTTTACATGTTCAGTGCAAACATTGTAATGTTGTATGGTAAAGCAAAACAATGGGACTATTAGTATTTCCTCCATAATCCAATAGCTGTGAACATGGGGAAGCACAAGGAATATCATCAGCCCAACTTGTTCGCTGTCCTTAAACATCATCTCCTTGTGCCATGGTTGGAGACCGAGTGCTGATCTAAATGGATCATTGTGCTCAGATGACCCTTGTAGGGGGTCTTTTCCAGCGGAAATATTCTATTCTATTTGTCTGACCCTGTAAGGCAGCTGTCAACTCATCTGTGCACACTACACAAGGAGATACCAACCTTGGAAAAATACCTGTCTGTGTTGGTGCCAGACATTTACTTGTGGAACACTGGCATTTTGAAATGTGCTTATGCTTTTTAAGAGTATTTGAAATACAGATTGCATAGAACACATCTATTCATGTGTTTGGTAATTCTTACAGTTTTGACTTCAAGTAAGTGACTGTGTGATCTGTACTGCTTTCAGTTGTTTAAAAGTGTTAAAAAGTGTTAAAAGTGTTAAAAAATTAAAACTGGTTTAAATTATAAGTGATGGGTTTTAGCTTATCGACAGTTAAGTGGCTTAGGTCTTGGATACTTGTTCACTTCTTTGCCTCCACAATATTGGAGCATTTGAGTTTTGCTGAATGTCTTGATTGAACATTTTCTTAATTTATAAGGAAGACATATGGAGGCTGGCTTACCCAGTTGGGAATCATCAGCTCTGAGACTTTCTGCTTGTTAATCTTATGGAATCAGAATTTTATTGGAATTTTTTGCTGTGCTGCTTCTGTTACAGTGAATGGAATAATTTAAAACAAAGACCATAGTCCAGTATGTGTACAATTTTTGCCTAAGTACCCAGGCATCTCAACAGTGTAATTGGAAAAAATCTAATTACTACTTAGTGAAGGGAGGCTGAGCAGGCTGGAGTGAGATATTGTTGGATCTTCTGTTCTATTGATTTTTGTAATCTTATGGCTCCACAGTGAGTCAGTACAAGCGGACTGAAATACCATACGCTGAGAATATTTCCTCTCTCCCTTACCTTCCTGCCTTTCAGTAGAAGACAGAGGTTAGAGTAAAAGCAAGCAAGCCAGCACTTTACTCACAGCACAAGGCCAGACTTTGTCCTGAGATTCAGTTCCCATCTATTCTGAATCTGGAATGTAAGAAAATAAAAGATGCTATCTTTTCTCATAGGTAATGTGCTAGGATATTTAAGTAATGTGCTAGAATGTCCTAGGAGAAAAATGAGCTTTGTCACAAAGATACAGGTCTAAAGGGTGTCGAAAAATCACAAGTGCAGCTCCAGTTGTGGTGATAAGTAGGTGCTTTAAGATTTTTTCTTTCACTTGTCTTACTAAAGTATTAATTTTGCAAGACTGTTCTTAAATGTTAACTGTGAAAATATTATCATTTATACAGCTAATAATGACATAGTCCACCCTTTATAAATGCAGCCAGTGTGAATTATTTACTGTTGCTTTTTATGACCGAGCTCCTAGCCATCAGCAAGAATTCTGACAAAAATACACAGCTTTAAATTAAAAAGCGTATGAAAGTTTGTGATAGATCTAAGGTTAGTCATACAACCTTGACTTGTCTCTATTGTGTAGATGCATAGCAACATGGCACTATTCTTATTTTATTTATAGGATCTTTGTTTCTTTCATTATGTAGCATGGTTTGTGTTCTGAGAATAAACACATAGTGATGAGGCTTATTTCCATAACTTACTGGAAGAGCTAATGGATGCAAGGAACTGCAGGAAGAGAGGAATGGTCCTGGGAGTGAGGCTACCCTGGAGATTGCTCTGGATTCTGATTTGCAAAATCTTCTGAAATTTTGTGTTGTAACTGAAGCCAATGACATCTTTTTTTTTTTTCCTGGATACTTAGTATGCTAAAAATGCAGTCTATAAGTCTTGTACATACCAGTATTAGCTGGTACAATGTTGACATTGGTTTATGTGGCTCAGTTATGGTAAGATTATTAGTTCTGCTTCACCCCATGCGCTGTTAGGAAGATAAACCTGTTAATGTTTGTAAAACACTCTGCTAATTTAAGTGGCAACTTAAAGCCTATGAAGAAATTGATGCTTCTGTGTTCAAAAGAGTAAGACTTGGCTGGAGTGCAGGAATTAGTGAATAAGCAGCACCCAGGCTGTGTCTGCACTGCAGTCCAGGGCTGTAATTGCAGTTTATATAAGTTTATTCTTACCTAGTTTGAAGCTGATTAGTATAGGAACAAGATTTTGGTGTATACACAGAAAAGAGGATTCAGCCCACATTACAAAACCTGTGCAAGTCTCTGGAAACTACTCATATGTGTGAGTTCAGATCTTCCATAATGTGGCTGTATCTTTATCAGTATCAGATGCCTCAAACAGGTGTCTTTGACTTGCAGTTGAGTTATAGGATTTCATAAGGTGGCATTTCTTACCTGTTCGTCATACTATGATCATTTGGTACAGTGAGACTGGGCTGCTTTCGGGGAAAATTGTGTGAACTTAAGGACTCTGCTTTAATTTGTGTCCTAGGGGAGTAATGGACAGTTGCATGGGGAGCCTGGTTTGGGATATTTTCCGATATTTGAGAAGTTGAATCTGCAAGTCTAATGGCGTGCTTACACAGTGTTTAGGAACAAACTAGATTCTAACTAGTTACTCGTTTCCCACAGAGGCAGTGCCTGAAAGCTGATGTTTTATTTGGATTTTTCAGTGCTCTTAGGACAGTAAACACCAGAAACAAATGTTTTGGGGCACCAGTAGTGGAAAAGCGTAGTTGACAGTTCTTGTGTGGAAATACTGTCAGCTATACTTATTTGATTAAATATGTGGATTGGTCTTTAGTATCTGTCTTAGATACTTTTATGTGTTCCCTTATAGCTGCAGTGTAAGTTAGGGAGGTACGTTTTGGAGATGGAATCTGGAGGACAATTCTGGGCATGTGATCTCTTCCAGTTAAAGATGGCTGTTCGAAACAGTGTTCTGACCCTTTCGGTTTATTTTCAGGAGGTATATGTGTGTGGCTAATCTGAAGTTAAGTTATTTCAGTGTTTAGACATTAATAGTTGCACTTTGTCACACTAGAAGTTTTTTTTTCAATATGTGTCTCATGAATCTTGTTCTGCTTTCAGATGTGGTGAAGAGCCTATATTTTCCCCTGTGCGGTATATAGTGCCTTAAAAAATGGGGTTTGGAGGTGACTTGAAGTATTCTCATGATGCTTTATTAAAACTGCAAGACTGGGAACTACGGCTGCTGGAAACGGTGAAGAAATTTATGGTAATGCGAGTAAAAAGTGATAAGGAGTATGCCTCCACTTTACAGAATCTTTGTAATCAAGTAGATAAAGAGAGCACTTGTCAACTGGATTATATCAGCAATGTGTCCAAGGTAAGACTGAAATATTTTGAATTTGAAATATCTGTGGAAATAACAGTGCTGGATTTATTTTTGTTTGTTTTAGTTTGAGTTGGATTCCTGTTCATTCAGCTTCTTGAGAGTCAGTGTTGCCAGAGTATTTAAAATGGGGTCCTTTTAGCTCCTCAGTGGAATATGCAGAAGTTGAGCCCCAGTCTTGCTTTGAAACTAATAACTGAACTGGAATCAATCCTGAATTCTGAAATTCAGTATTTTAGGTTCCTGAGGGGAGCCTGCTACTTTGTTTAGTGTTTTGGAAATAGGGTATGCTATAGTAAGCTTTTCTTTTAAGACAGTTAAATAGGAACTATTGTTTACGTTATATAGAATTTGTGACAGAAATAGAAAAATGCCAGGAAACCGTGGCAAAGCCTAGCATTCCAGCTGTTATTTACACTGCAGCATGTTGTAAAAACAAAACATTAATTCAAGATGTTTCTCATAATTGTGAAGTTATTTTGTATCCAATTTAAAATAACTGTGTTGACTTTTTATGAAGTCCTTCCCCCGAATTAGTAATTTTTATTTTTAGAGCAAGTCCAGTTAAGGTGCTGATGAAGCAAACTTCCCTATTTCACCTGTTTGTAAGCTTCACTCCGGACTTGGATTCCTTCCTGACTAGAGAAAACTATTTTGTTTTAATGCCTTATTCATTCTTGGCCCTTCTGCTGTAGCAGTGGTTACACAGTCCCTTCAGTCTGGCATGAATCCTGATCTCTCTGCAGGAAAAGACCCTTTTTGGGTCAAGTTAAATTTTAGACAAAGCGGTTTTTATGTAGTGGGCTTACGTGCTGGCTCCTTGAGTACTAGTTATGGCAAGCATTAGGAACGTGACTGCTCCTTGTGCAGCAGTCTAGATTTATGCTGCATGAGAGTGTGTGATTTGAAAGCTGCACTGCTATAGCTAGCCAGCTTCAGCTACCCCAAAAGTAGTTTATAACAAATTCTGTTGTTTCTTCTCTCCCACGCAATAATTTCTGTCTTACAAATTGGCATACTAGCTTTTTTTTTTTTTTAATCTGTGTGTTTTGGTGGTATATTTGAAATGCTTTTCACCCAATTATGTTTTAGACACAGTTTGTTAATAGCTTATGCTATTTAAGTTGTGATGATTTTGGTAAATAAAGAATTGCCATTAGCCTCAGATTGGCAGAAGTCAGCTTTTTTTTTTTTTTTTTAATTAAGTGTACAGCAAGGATGAGCTCTTTGAGGGAAATCATGTTTAGGAAAATCTGTCCTATTTTTTTTCATGCAGAGGCAGCAAACTTGCTGGAAGGCATAGTGGCAGCAACCACTAATGCTAGAAAAGCAGTATTTTTAAGTGCTTCCCAACAGCTCTTTTGTGTGTGTGTGTGTGTCTAAAAAATACTGTTAAACCAAAGAATATTATATTTTATTGCTTTTTCTGGATTGTGGTTGTTTTCTGTGAGAGGAAATGCTTTGCCCTTGTTGCTATCCCCACCCAGCTGCTTTTCTGTACCATATAAATTTCAGTTTTTGAAGCCTTTCCTCAAGTATAGCTTTTCACTTTAGCTTTTCCTATTTTAAAATAATAAAATGTAATCATACAAAACACAGAAATCAAATATTTAACCAATGTTTTCTCAGTATGAAGAGAGGGATGTAAAGAACAGGAAAATGTGAAAATGATTTTTTTTAAATCAAAAGGGACATTTTCACTATGTTTCTGACTTACTCAGGTTCATTTGGTGAATTATAAGCTAAACATTTCTTTAGCATATTTGTCCCATTGAAAAATTCTTTTGCTGTGATTTTCAGGGTTGATTGAAACAGTACTTGTTGTCATCAGTAATAAATCAACCTTAAAGAAAATGGAGAACTCTGACAACATTTTCACCTCTGAGAGCCCTCTTACAGACTCTTATATAACCACAAGACCCACTCCTCTCAGACAGATGTTTAATGATGTTTTTATCCTATGCAACTTTGCAGTGTGCTGTAGCTGGGGAGCTTTAGGCCATGACCTTTTAGAACACCACACTTAAAGCAGTCTGAGATAGCTCTGTGTCAGTCTGTGGGATATTTACAAGCTAAAGGAAATGTTAAAGACAGTATAATATATACAGGACTTAACTGTCTTTTGTTTCCTTCTCTAGAATCCAGTTTGCATTTGCAGCATTGTCATGTGGAGGTGGAAATGTTATGTATATATGTTTAATATATGAGATGTAAGGAAACCCCAAAGCTACGGAACAAGTTAATTTTCTAAGTTTTGGTGATCTAAGGTGGATTCCTCTCTTTAGTAAGAGTAAGATAAAGAATAGTAAAGCTAGCATGCTAGCTGTCTTCAAAACCTGGTAAGTGTATATGGCATGTAGCCATTCTGAAATTTTAGATGTGGAATGGCATAGCATTCAGTGTCAGGGAGTTATCTGCAAGGAATCCAGTGCTGTTCCCATCAACAAAGTGTGACAAGGATCTTTAGGATAACAAATGCTTTTGTTTGAGCTGAACTTTAATGTTGGGTTTGTATCTGTGGTGCATTGGAGGTCTCTTTGTTCACCTTACAGTTCGTAATCACAATTCAAAGCCACATACAGCACATTAAAAAAAACCCTGAGTGACAGAATGGCCAAGGAACTTATTAAAGTAAGGGTACAGAAAGGTGGTGTGTTACTATGAGAGATGAGTAACTGCTTGTCTCTCTTAACCTGTTAGCACCTTATGCTTTGATACTGGTGGCCTGACTCTGATGCGGTCAGTTTTGTGAAGCAGCTGACGAATGGTATCCTCTTAAACAGTAAGCATTCAAATGCATATTTCTGTGAGGTATTTAGACAAGGGCAGGGAAGTCAGCTTGAACAGAGTAACTGTGACTGGGAAACCGGAGAATAGAGGACATGGGAACGTGCTTGTCAGGGGTGTCGGGGATGTATTCCAAAAAAGGCTGCAAAGCTTTCATCGGTGTTCAGAAGTGCTAGGGCAGCGCTGAAGGGTGACAGTATTGTATTTTTGTCTCTGGTTCTTTTTTATGATTTTATAAGTTAGTTTGAGGCACGATTTTGCTGTAGCAGAAAGAACTTTATTTTAGAAGATGTCAAGTGCATTTCGGTAAGTTTAAAATTCTTCTTTTACTGAATTGTTTTAAACAGTGATGCATCTTTTCCCACAGTTCGTGTTCATCGTTTGGTTATTTGTAAGCCAGAATAGTAAGTGCTTTTCTGTTCTGACTTTTTTTTATAGTCTTGGTTGCTCGTGGTACAGCAAACAGAACAGCTGAGCAAAATAATGAAGACACATGCAGAGGATCTTAATTCTGGGCCTTTACATAGACTTACAATGATGATCAAAGATAAGCAGCAAGTTAAGAAGAGTTATCTAGGTGTTCATCAACAAATTGAAGCAGAGATGTACAAGGTATTTTATTCAGCTGTGCTTTATAAATTTTTATAGTTTTGTATGTTTAAAAAGTAATATATTGAGAATAAATTTTTTTAGATCCTCTGTTTTCGTTTGTGCTATGGTAAAAGTACTGATTTGTGATATGTAGAATGCCTAGTTTAAATTTTAGTTACTTCCTCCACATCTTCTCTCCCCTGCTGACAAGGGGAGGTGGAAAAGTTTCTTATATATGAATTTCTATGGATAGATAGCACCAAATGCTCTTGTTCCAGTAGAGGATGATTCTCTGTGAAACTTCTCTGTTCCATCTCTCTTCCTGTTCGCATTCTGCTCTAGACACCGCTGGGACCAGGGCACTGAAAACTTTTGTTAATGAATGCTCTTGACAGGCCAGACTGTTTTGAGTGGGGACAGGATTCTAGTCCCTGTTCTAAAATATAAATCAAGTGTAAACCAAACATTAAGGCTGCAGATGGAGCTCCTCAGGGACTTTTCTATTACATGTTGGTTGTCCTGCTTATGTTGAAAGCACTGTATCTAGTCAGTAAAGCTGACAGAAATCACAGTTTCATTCAGGTGCTCTGGGGGAAGTTTAACTGCAAGTGTCAAAAATCAAATTGATAGTTGAAAGTTCTGCTGAGAGAAGGAGAAACACTGTTTCTTCTTTCTTTGAGCAGAGAATTTGAGATTTGGAGTAGTGTAATTAAAATTAACATCTGAGTAGTACAGTACAAATGTCATGGACCAATGAGTAAAAGATTCTTAGGCCGGTTATGAGAAGAACTTTAAACTAGTATTAAACACATACTAAGTTAAATATGTTGGCTCTTATAGGACTGTTTCCATAATGATCTTGGCATCTTCCCCAGGTGTTGACTGTAGGGAGTACATCTTTTTTGATGCATGGTTGGTAGGCTGTCTTATCTGAGCCAAATAATCACTCACAGCCACTTATGGACTGGTGCGTCTGAAAACAGTCGGTGTGGAAGAAGAGGAAAAACTGGTAGCATATGTTCGAAATAATAGAGGTTAAATGTATAAAAAATTTGAGAAATGCAAAAAGAAAGAAGGAAATGTAGGAAAGAGAGGCTAGATGAAACAAGACTGATGTAAGTTCAGGTATACTTTTAAAAGAGACTGTGCAAAACGTGATTTTTTTTTTTGTTAATAAGTTCACTCTAATAAAATCTCTAATAAGTCTGTCCTTTAAAAGAAGGCTTTTTCAAAAAAATATAGTGCATATTGAGCATTCCCCAAACGACTAATTACAGACCATACGAATTTTAATTAATTATAGGCTGCATGGCCATGCAAATGTTTTGCATCTGTTGAATAAGCTTGCATTGTTGTTTTTGGTTTTGGTTTTTTTTCCCTTCCTGATTTTCCTAAGAAGCATTTGAATAGCATTCTGGTTAGATATGATGTGTTCTTTCATTGTTAGCCGACATTATTTGTTCAAAGGTTTTGTGTCACTGGAGCACTTACAGAATGGTTCCCAGAAATTCAAAATACTTCTCATGTTCTGTGGCATTATTTCTGCTTTTGGTAGACACAGAAGCAAACTACTTATTATTTCCCAGGACATTATCCAAACCTGGTGAAGATCAATGTTTGTGTAGTTCATATCTTTAGGATATGCTGGTAAAAAAATGTGTTTTCCTTTAGGTGAAATGCATGTATATCATTCTTTCTTATCGTAGACACCTCTACAATGAGGAATCCTTTTGATAAAACTCTTAAGGAGAGTGAAATACCATATTTTTGACATGAATGTAGTAGAACTTCTATCTTGTAAATTTATTCCAATTCCCATTAAGATACTGGGTATTTTTTCTTTCGTCATGAAATTTGAGGAAAAAAAGTAGAGTACTATGCTAGTTAGGTGGGCAAGACTTTTTGGTATAAAAACTGGGCTTAAGTTAGTCCTTGATCATCTTAATTCCTTAAGTGTTATTTCAGGTTAGGGCTCCTGGTTTTGTTTTTGTCTGTTGGAAGAACACAGTCTAAGAATCAGTAAAATGTATTTTGCAGTTATTGCAAAGATATCTTAATACTAGTAGCCTATCTTTTATTTCCAGTTTTCTGTAAGAGAAGCAGTTCCTTGTTATTTATGTCTTAATTATGTTCACTACTTCCTACTTGTATATTTTTCTTCATTTCTCACAGCGCCGTTATAATACAAGTTAGTCATAAAGTTGTTTTTCCTGTATCACCTCTATTGATCTATAATAACAACAGTTTTGAGTATAATTTACAGTGTCTAGAAATATGAGATGAGGATATGGGATTGATGTGGAAAAAAGTTCCTGCCTTTAAGTTAAATCTTTGCACAGTTGGCCCAGAAATAGAAACTGTAGATAGCACTTTGTTGGCTGATTGAGGAATTTCATTAAGTTTCCAGATGTTGTTCTCGAGGGTGAAAGTAGTGTTATCTGAGCCTTACGTCATGAAAAAAGGGAGAATTGTAAACTCCAGCCTTCTTCATGCCAGCTGCAAGAGAAACAGGTTTTCTGTAGGACAGACTTCCTTTCTTGCACATTCAGTGAGGGGAGCACTTCCATTAAATTAAGTTCCTGTTTCATGATTTTCCATTATGAGTGTGAGTTTTGGTGGTGTTTTTTTTTTTTTTTTTTGTCAGAGTTTTTACTTTTATTTACTATATATGCCACCTTTTGGTATTCTTACTAACTTTTGTTTGCAAGTTCATGATTTGTGATTATTTCTGGACAGAGCACTGATTTTGTCACACAGTAAATGAAAGTTGGGGATAGAATAGACAACTCTATCTTAATTTTTTGACCAAAAATGTCATTTTCAGTGGAGATACTTCCACTGCAAAAAGATTCTTCAGTGCTGTGTTCAGCTGTAGTTCAGTTTTTGTTTGTTTCTTGTTTGTTTGTTTGTTTTTGGTTTCTTTTCCTTTTTAGGGATTTAAGTTTTACAATAGATAGATTGTTGCATGCACAGCTGCTCTTTCTAAGCCACTGTTTGTATGAACTCTAATATCTAAAAAATCTTTTGTCTTGCTTTTTTTTAAATGCTAAAGGATTTCCCTCCCATACATAGAACTTTTTCGTCTAGTATGTTTTATTAAGCATCTTTTTCGTGCTTTTTTTAGCCTGTCATTGCAATGGAATAGTGTTTATGATAAGCTGAATTTCCTAATCATATTTTTCATTACACTAATGTGGATGGGGATCTGTTGCAGGCCTCTTATTTCATTCCACACATTTATTGATTTTGATTTTGTTACACCATGTAATATCCTATTAAGATTATCTCAAACCAATGAAAAGTGGTGACATCCTTATTTTTGAAAATAAATCCTGTTAATTCTCTTTCACTAACGTTATGAGGTTTTTTATATATTTGGGATAAGTATTTTTAATACTTTTCATATTTCTGTTTTCTTAAAGGTCACAAAGACAGAACTAGAGAAACTAAAATCTAGCTATAGACAACTAATAAAAGAAGTAAATTCTGCCAAAGAAAAGTATAAAGAAGCTGTGGCTAAAGGTATGACTGACTTGTGTTAATTTTGTCTTGTTTATTAGTGCCTTTTTCAAACCTACTAAAACTCTTACAGTGAAACAGGGTAATGTTTTTATTCTGGGCCAACATAAAAGCTCACTTAGTATCTTAAGTAAGACAGGCTAATTGTCAATTGGTGGTACTCTTCAAAAAATCATAAAATAAAGGATAGCCCTTCTTTTAATATAAATAATAGTCCTTTTAAGTTCTTTTGTTATCCCTTTCGTGGATGTATTTGAAATGTAAAATTGCTCAAATGAACTGTTATTAGCTGTAAGTGGGTTGCAGTTCTGTCTCATCGACTTTGTAGCTGCAGCCTACTTGCATCCTGTGACCTATTATGGTTGCTTGCAGTGACATCAGCACCAGTTATTGACACTTACTATAACAGAGCTGAGTTTTGGCCATCTTAAGCAAAAGAGGAAAAGAAAGCATTTGCACACTGAGATATTTTAGAGATTTTTGGGAATGATGTGTCCAATCTGCATGGATTTTGATTCTTACTGAATTGTGCTAATGATTAGATAAAGGAGAGCCTTTGTTCTATGATGTATTGAAATATCTTGTTAATAAAATAATTGTTCTTATGTGCCTTTCTAAGATTTTTTTTTTCTTTAGAGAAAATTCATTGGATGACAGTGTATAAATGTAATTCCAAGATCCATCCTTAAGTTTTTGTATGACTGCCTAAAATGACGGTTATTTTACTGATGTTCATATTCACTTAAAAATGTAAATACATACTCAGTTGTTCATTTCATGTAGTTCCCTAGCTGTTTTCTGCATACAACTTTAATTTGGTTACTTGGTTTATGCCCAAGCATCTACTTCACATGGGAACATACAGTATGTAACATGGGAAAAATAATAGGGTGTTGTGATCTTAGTATGTTCTTTTTATCCTTTCTTCCTGTTATAGCTCTGATCATTCTCCATTCCTGAAGCACCAGACTTTCCCGTGAAAAATCAAAGTGTTTTGGCTGTCAGCAGCTGTGCTGTTTTGACGTGATTCTGATTAACTGAATTAATATTTCTTTAGATAGACAGCAAACACAAGCTGTTTTTAAGACACATATTTCTCCTGTGGTTTTTCTTGACCACCTTTCTCAGGCTTCGGTTTAGTGTTTGTCTTATTACAGTTTGTACTTAATTTCGCTTTCCCTAACATCTTAGTGTAAATCTGTTTTAACAAACACTGACCTCCAGAAAAATATTGCAGGTTTTTCTCCCAAAAATTGTGGAATTGCTTCTCCCCTGCCACAGCCCAGGCTGTGTTCTTGTTTACAAATACTTGTGTAGTTGGTGAACTACTACAGTTGTGTATCAGCTGCAGGGCAGCTGAGCTGTTTGAATTTTTTTAAGCCGTAGTATTTTCATAGGGTTTCTGAACCCTCAAGTTGTCAAACTGGTTTGTGAAGTGAAGAATTCAGGGAAGTCTTAAAATTGTAATGCTTCATTGTTCCAGGCATTACTTCAGTAACTAGTGCTTATTCAAATTATGTGCTGTTAGGAAATACGACTTTTGTTAATATACAAAATGGTTCAGTTTTTCAGGATCTCAAGAATTACTGAAAACATGGGAAGGAACAGTGTCTATGAGAATAGTGGGAGGGCATAACCAAGTATTGGGAGTAAGCTGAAAAACATTTTGTTAAACAAAAAAATGAAAATCTTTGGGCACCATCTCTTGCAAGAGATGTGTTATAAGAACCAGTCCAGGTCCACTTCTGTAAAATGCTGTTCTCAACAGACTCCGTTCCTTTGGCAAACAGAGTCTCCATCACAGTTCCTGGCCCTGCCTTTCTGGAGCTGAAGGGGAAAACTACTCCTGAGGACATACTACTTCATCTTTGCTGCTGGGCTTGTGCATGCTGAATTACATGTAAATTTGTGCAGTACCTGTACAAGGTGGTCAACAGCAAGAATGCAAGTCACATAAAGAAATGCCTTAGGAATTTTTCTGTTTTGCAGGTGTAGTAATTTTGAAATTTAGTGACTTTGTTTTGTTTTGGAATAGCAAAGCCATCTTGTAGTGAGAGAGTAAATTTACTAGAGCCGCTAGTGAAAGTGGTTCTCTAGTTTGGGAAGATAATTGTTTCCCTGATTTCTGGAAAAAAAGTTTTTAAAAGTGATATTAAATTCTGGGCTAAACACACACAGTAGAGGATATTAATTGAAGAGGGTAAAGGCTGGCAAAGTTATAAACAGTGAAAAGTGATCTTCTGCAGTAGTAGTTGTTTTTATGTTTTTCTGCAGTTACATAGTATTCTCAGGTAAACTTGAATTACTGTGTGTTGTGCTTTCCACCAGCTAACAGGACAGTCACTTTGAATCAACATGTTGATGCCCTAGTGCAGGTTTACAGATTTTTTCACTTTTCGCTGAAAACACTAAGAGGACCTGTGGAAAGAGTAATAAGAATAAGAGTTAAGCACTGGATAATGATACTGGTTAATGACAGGTTTTGTTTGGGTTAGGGCAGTGGGAAGGCAACTGGTGGGAATTTTTGGGAAGTTTCCTAGTGAGGAAAAGGGAACTACTTTCTGAAGGATGCAGGAGCTTTGTTATGGAAGGCGTTGTGCTCTCCAGATCTGGAGAAACATGAAAGTGTCTGAGATGCTGTCTCAGGAGCTGTTGCGGGGAACCCTCCACTAGCACTGCTTCTGCTTGGGCATCAGGGAACCAGTGTGACAGTTGTGTTGTAGAGGGTGCACCATCGAGCCTTGGCTGTTGCTTGGTCGTTAGGCTGGATTGCACTGCCTTGTGGCCACCAGTGTCTGCATGCTGTGTCAATCAGAAGTGACTGATTTATCTTGTATGTTCTAGCCCTTACCCATGTAGTCATGCATTGCTGCTCCATTCTGGACTAGTGGGAATTCTGGACCATGGGAATCACAAATGCAGACTGTTGTTCTTGGGTATGGAGACCCCAGGTGTCAGGCAGTCTGGTTGGTGTTACTCAGCTGATTGATATTTTTTTCATTTCTTTTTTTAGTTCATAATTCTTGTTTTTTAATGTATGATAAGAGGAAGCAAGCTGAGAGGGAATAAAGTCAGCAAGCTGACCTAGTCCAGTGCCTCACTAATGAGGCATGCTTAAGCAACTGGGACTATGGACAGATTGATTCCAATAGGCTCTTGAGATTTGAAAACTTTGTTTAAAAAAAAAAGTATGTACTGGGAACACATTGCATTTTCCTTTGCAGAATTGGGGCATTAGGGTGTGTTGGAGTCATAAGGCATACTGGGGTCATTGGAGCAAAATGTAAGATAAAAACTTATTACATTGGTTTTCCATGATGAAATGGACAGCACTCTGAAATGTTTTGGATGTATGACACTGAAAAAAAATGGTGTAAGCTTCTTATAGCAGTGGTCCAAAATAATACAGATTGTGTAACCCTTGTAACCCTGAGCCTGCAATGCTGTGCTGACATAAGTGATGCTGAGTAACAAGGTAAATAGTGTGGCATGTTGATGTTGCTGCTGCAGGAAAACACATCAGAACAAAATTTATGGCAAATGATAAAGACATTGTTTGGCTAAAAAAGTCACAAAGCTTCTAAAACAGGTTCATAAATAATGGGTAAAGAAAACAATATGTAAATTGTAGAACAGTTGTACATATCAAGCGTGATAATCTCATTACAATTTGAATCTCATTTGATTGTATCAGTAGGTGCTTCCACTTAAGTTTGCTATTTCCACAATTATTTCTGTTTCTGCGGAATTCTGCACCTTTATTAAGTGAGGTTCGGAGTGTGTCTATGGGGGTTTCTAATGTTTTCGTCCTTGATTTTTTTGATTAAACTACTTATTGCTGTATATAAAAAAAACTTAAAACAGAAAATTATGACTACATGAAATCGTAAATTATAATTTGGTCTTTTCCTTGCATTAAAAAAAATTGAAAAGCATTAATTCTTAACAATTTAACATCAAAATAGATGTTACAACAACAAAAATATGTAGCCAGTTTTGGTGTTAGCTATTTAAATTTGAAACAGTTGCTCTTACATCAGTTAATAGTGCAAGTTGGAGTAAAGCCAATGTAGCTTTGAGAGGTTCATATGGGATTTTAATACAATATAATCTGTAATAAAATTTGCAGTTTTCATTGTAAATACATCCATTACAGGTGTTTATTGTATTCTTATTACTAGTTAATTACTGATTGAATGCAGAAACTATGTTGCAACATTCTTATGTGACAGAATGGATCTGAAGTAAATAGTAAGGGAAAAATTTATTGTTTCTAAGTATTTAATCACATTATTTTATTTTATGCTGCTACAGCAGTATAGAAAAAGAGTGTGCCAGATTTCCATAGGTTGGTTTCTGTTCCCTGACAATGTCGTGATTTAGAGGAGTCTAGAAATAATAATGTACACCTAGCACATTATACAACATTGCATCAGCTGGAAGAATGTTTTCTGATTCCTGCAACTCTTGTGGTTTAATATGTAAGAATTGATGTGACTTCTGTGGTACATACTGAAATTGCACAACAGCATAAGCTGTATCTATGATAAATAAGGAACTGTTGAAAAAGCTTTCATTAAATCAAATTATTATCCTACTCTTCTTTGTAATAGCTGAGTGGCCAGAAAATGCTTTTATTAGGTGGCTGATACATTCTTTCTGAGATGCCTGAAAAATTGTGATTATACTACTACATTTCCTGGTGGTGTATGTTGCCTTTAGCTGTTGCTGAGATCAGGGAAGTCTCATAATAGGGTATTTTCTGAGTTTATTTTTGACTGAACTCTCACATTGTTAAGACAAAACAAGTAGCACTGGCTGAACTGGTCTGTCCTATTCACAGATGTCAGCAGGCTAGATGGATTTAAAATTAAATACCCTATTGTAAGCATTTCAACTCCTATACACTACCAGTGCTTGCAAAGGCTAGACCTGTTTCTTGTGTGTAAAATAAAGCTTCTAGAGGGGAAAGTGGGGAGTGCAGAGCCAAGAGTCTTCTTGTG